ATAGCAGACTAAGCACTTGAATAGAAATTGCCGGCTCCAATGGATAAGCCATATGATTGTCAGGTGACAGGCAATTAATAAGTGAATATAGTTGCACACGAAAATCACAACCATGATCCTTTTCTAGCTCCTGTCCAACGCCAGCAGAAAGTTCATCGACCATAAATGAACCAGAAGAAAATCTTGGTTCTGTCATCTTTAAACGTTTGGGGAAACTATTTTCCTCGTCCAGAGCTATTCGTTTCTGCCCAACTTTTGGCAAATCTAATCCCTCAGATTTTGCCAGTAGGCTGCTTCCATCATCCCTGTCATCAGAAGATAAAAAACTCTGGCCAGATTTGTCAACGACCAGTCGAATGCATTCTATCAATTTAGCACAAGGCTTTGGCAAGCAAAGCAGCTTTAGAAGTATTTCTGGTTTCCACACTCGTGGGGAGCAGAGTTCAACTATTCTCTTGTATGCATTGCACATAGCAACCTGAAAAGCAGTAGCAGTTAGCAGATGAGAGTATCCATAGAAACTGGGATTGGGAAAATCAAATTGTTAACCTGAAGCTCTGAGCTTCTGCTGGTATGCACTGCTCTTTGAAAAACATTAACAATGTCAGAAGCCGTAATTGCAACAATATAGCCTGGGCAGGAAGAATGCAGTGCATGAAGACAGGCACCCATTGAAAAGTCGTAATCTGCATCTCTGCAGAAAGGAGACGAAGTAATGATATTAGACAATGTTCATGTGCACTCCAATCCAAACAGTTGACCAGGACATTCACAGTAGTTGAACAATTAAACTACTACTACCATCATTAGTTTCATCAGTATACTACAACGTTGCAGAAAGAAATTCCCCAGTAATACTGTTGTAGTCTTCTGCAATGAAAAGGCAGCATTATACATATATTCCTGACCAGAAACATAAGCGAAATACAATCCACCGCATTACAGGTTTGTGCACCATATTTCTAATTTCTTCTAAGTTTCCGTATATTGATGTTGAGTGCAGTATCCAATGTTACTTTTCAATTGTTACAGCTATAATTAAGAGTTTCAGCCTTTCAGGTAAACAACTAAACATAAGAGAGGCATATACATATAGACCAAGACCAATATGGTTGATTGTTTATGCAGCCAAAGATGCCTTCATAAATATCCCACGTCTCCTAATACAGGTCACCTTGGGACCGTCGACCATGCGGTTAACGTTGTAAAACTTTGACCACTAATATATCCGTGTGTATATGGATCGGCTACGGGAAAATATCACTGGACTCATCTTCCAACATACCTTCATAATAGATAGCTCCTTTTTGCTAGAATAACATTAAAAAAAACATACTCACATTTTTGTATTGGAGACTGTAAAAATCAATACAACTTATATTTGTGAACTTGCATTTGTGAAATAAAAAAAAAAACTTGGGACCTCGGACCATAGGCATCACATGATGTAAATATCATTGCAGCAGACAAGCAAAACTAAAGAAACCAAGCTAGTGGGCAATGAGACAATTCTCACTATTGGGGGTGAGCAAGGAAAGCAAACAAACCTTGTTACCTATTAGGAGTTACTCTTGGACCCCCCCCCCCCCTATTACACAATGTAAACTATTTTGCCATAAATTTCTTTTGCATAGTAAAACAAATCTGAGAAACATTGTTGCTGTCATGTGACTGTTGTTTGCTCAGTATGCATCATTAGAACGAGTATAGTACGCAATGAGAAGTGAACAGCATACCTGATATCAGAAAGTCCGTTAACATCTTGGCTCAAAATGCACATTATCGAACGGATAATGTTTTCCACAGGAAGAATCTCAACAGTGATCACCGTTGCAACAATCCGTGCAAAATCAAAACAAACCTGTTGCACCAGATTGATTACCAGTGTCTAAAAGACGTACAATCAAAAACACATAAAGGATCAAGTAAAACAGTTAGATATCAACCTTGTGTAGGGATTCATCCCCATAGCAGATAATAGAACAGGCAGCAGAAACAAATGGCATGTTAACAAGTCCCTCGACATACAGGGTCCCATCTGCAAGACACTTGTTGACAAGTTTAATCAGCATGGTGGCAAATGGACGCCACCTCGTCTCACCTGTCAGATCAACCAGTACTCCGGGTCCATTCTTAGGCTGGCAACTGTCTGGGAGATCACTAAAAATCCCAGGTGAATCCAAGATATCTGAGAAGGATCCGCAGAGGCATTTAACTAAATATCTTTCAGTAAGCACGCCACTTGGCCTGTCCCCATGCATTGATGCCACCACATATAGCACATCTGATGGATTTGACAACAAGCTCAAGTTAAATCATTTCATCATAACCTAAGAAACTGGAATCCTACTACTGTACATGGCACAACCTCATGACTAAATAAGAAGACAGAAACACAGACCTTGTACTGCAACCATGACATCCAAGAAGAACTGCCGGTAGGCTTCTCGGTCACCTGTGCGAAGAAGCGAGAGAAGAGACCAAACTGTATCAAATATAATCTCATGCCTTGACCTGCACCAATGGAGACACAGTGTGTATGTAAAGAAATGGTAGCACATGCAGCAAGTGAAGTGCATTGTTATGCCTGCTTGGCTACCACTGTTACAGTGAACGATTACGAGCAGAAGCTACAAGAATAAATAATCTGCATTATGTCAAATTCTCCTCATTATTCCTTAATGACAAGTTCTCCATTAATAGATTTGCACAACGATCCTTTCCCTTGATATGGCACCTTTTTTCGTGCCAATATACAAGCGAAAACGTAATTTCGTCCCATGTTGCACATTGCAAACGAGTGTCGACGAACAATAAGCAGCACCAATACGCCAGCCAAAAAATGAGTGTGGTGTGTCCAGAACATGTCACGTAATTGGATCCCAATCAAATGTGAAGATCGATTGGGACTAGGGTTTGGGGGGTGAAGAGGTGGGGGGAGAAAAATGGAGTACCGGAAGTTGGGCTCCGCGAAGAAGGGGAGGACACGGCCAATGACGCGGATGACGTCGGCGGCGCGGCCGTGGAAGAAGACCCCCGGGAACTTCCCCGCGGTGTAGGAGAGCAGCTTGAGCACCGCGGTGGCCTCCCTCCCGTCCGCTGCACCTCGCACAGTTCAATCGCGGGCAAAGCGAAGGCACGGGGGAAGAGGGAGAGGAGGGGAGGGGGCCCTAACCGGTGGGGGATGAGGGGACGACGTAGTCGCGGAGGAGGTTGGGGAGGACCTCGCGGAGCTTGACCTCGAAGTGGACGGATGCGGGGGCGGAGGTGGAGGTGGTGGTGGAGGACGCCGCGATGAGCTCGCGGAGCTCCTGGATGTGGCTGGAAAAGTTGGCCATCGCCGGCGATCCCCGCCGCCTCCGCCGCCGGAGCGGGAGCACCGCCGCCGCCTCCTTTCCCTCCTTAATTTCGAACGGAAAAAATTCCAGACTCCATCCACCCACACCGTCTGTGTTCGTGGGTAGGAAAGGAAAGGAAACGCCTGTGGGCTTAGTTGGGCTTCAAAGCAGGCCCATTTAAGAACTTCCACTACGACGATCAATCACGGCCCTATATACCTGATCTGAAGCTCGAGTTGGGCCTAAATCACAATTCACAAGCCTCTCCTGTTTTTCTCTACCCCCTTCTCTTTTTATTTGAATTTTTTTTATTTATACATTTTTTTATTAAAATATTTACAAAAATAATTTTTTGTTTCGAAAATTTACAAATCTAATCGCCTGTCGCCTTCTATATGAGCGATTTTTAAAAATCGCCCTCCCAAAGGGCGGCAAGGGACCTAAATGCAAAATTTTTATTTGGGTTCAAACCCTTTCCACCGGTTTTAATTGCTTAAAAACTAATAATGCTTATTCGATACTTCAAATGATTTTAAATGGAAAAGTGATAAACTACAAAGTTATATATCTCATCAAGATCTACAACTTTTATATAAAGTTTATCTCCATCCAATGTCGTTTTAGATGTAGATCTGAGATTTTTTAAAATGTGTTTTATATTTTGTAACGAATATTTGAATATCTAAAACATCTTAAATGAAAAAGTTGTTAACTACAAAGTTGTAGATCTCCTTGAGCTCTACTATTTTGATATAAATTTTTATTTCATCTGACTTTATATAATATAATTTTAAATTGTAAAATAATAGAGCTAACAAGTTGTGCTGGAAAATTTGCATTTAGGTCCCAAAGGGCGGCAGGCGATTAGATTTGTAAATTTTTGAAACAAAAAATTATTTTTGTAAATATTTTAATAAAAAAATGTATAAATAAAAAAATTCTTTTTATTATAGGGAAAAAGTTAGGTTAAGGATGGGATTAGGACTATTGATTATGGTGTCATGTCTAGCTGATGGATGACTAATTTAGTTTAATTAAGTCCAAATGTCCTTGACGTTTTAGTTTAAGATAAAAAAAAAATCGATAGTATCCTGCAAAGCCAGCGAATCAGGGGAGCACATTGGTTCATAAACCGTGGCTATCTCGCGTCAGCGTGCATGCTTAATCAGATTATGGGTGTAGGAAAATGCTGACTTGGTGTTCTTCTTATCCGATAAACGACGAGGCAAATCCAACAAAGATAATCGATGTTTCAGTTTCAGCAAAAATAAAAATGAAGAAAAGAACAACAAAGAGCCGAGTAAAAGTTGAATTTATGGGCAGATGGCTGACAGTGATAGAACAAATCGAAGTCAACCTTGATTTGCCGATTAAATCGTACACATATTCGAATGTCAAACTCGTCATCGGTGGACAAATTGGCCATTCTCTGTCACAGCTTTTCTTTTTAAACATATTTTTTGTTCGTAACATTAGTAAACGCTCCTTTCGAAACGGATATCCATTGGATTTTGGCGAGAAACGGCCACAACATAGCATACAAGAAACTAAGAAATTTCATATTAAATTCATTGAATTACATAGGAGTCAAAAGAATTATGAAGAGTTGCGCCTTTGCTGTTTGATAAAACGGGAGACAAACCCAAAGCACAGCGTTGCAGCGTTTGCAGTCGTTGTGCGCATTTCGTCGAACAGGTCGGCGATGGACCACGGCGGTCAGGTCTCTCCCGTGCCGGCGACGGCGACGGCGCCGCGGAAGGTCAGGAGAGAACACATGAGGCTGGGGGTGTACCACGACGTGCTGCAGCGGCTCAGGGACGCCGGCGCGCCCGAGGCCCTCGCGCCGGACTTCGCCGAGAAGCTCTGGACGCACTTCCACCGCTTCAACGCCAGGTTCTTAATACAACCACCCTGCGCATCATTGCTGCCAAAAACTCGTGTCTGCATGTTTGATTTCGTCTCTAAGATTGATCTTTGATCGAATGCATACGGGGCACTGTTCAAACTAAAATTTACCCTCTGTGATGATTTTCAAGTGTCAGGCCTGTGAATCCGAATCAGGGCCTGAAATGGAAGATGAATTTGGCTAACATTTCTGAGTCTAAGCACACTAGGAGTTGGCTAGAGTCTAAATTTCGATGCTCTACTTTTTGATATGGGGGCGCTCCCAGTGCCTAATTTGTTCTTTTCGAATTGCTGGTTCCAAATATGATCAACTCTATTCTTGTTCTTCGATTTGATATGGCAGTTATGCCATGGATGTCAATGTTGAGAGGGCAGAAGACGTTCTGATGCACATGAAGCTGCTTGAGAAGGCTATCCATCCTGAAAATCAGCCTGCCTTCTCAGTGAGAATTGTTCAGGTACATTTACGCCAAAAAGGAGAACAGCTTCGATTGGTTTGCTCATGTTTTGCAGCAGTATATCTGTGGTATGTTTCTGAAGCAAACATTGCTGTGCAGGTTCCTCTAGATATTGATGCGAGTGAAGCCGATTCACAGTCAAACATCACTGAAGATGACAACTGTCCTACGCCAAGAACACCAGCGTATGTCCTTTAAGATTGCTATGTATCATGACATGTTGTTATATTTTTCTATTTGTGCTTAGTGCTAGTATTTATATTCTGTTTTTTCTCCCCTTATATTTCTGTTTGTTTGATTTCTCAGTGAACACCCTGCACCTATTTTTGGCTCTACCACAGCCCTTAAGGCTCTTGTTCGTCAAGCAAGCAGCAAGAACCTCCTGGATGACAACCAAGACATAGATGCTATTCTCAGGTTTGCATATTTATAGTTACTAGGTCCTGAAATTTTCTCATTTACCTATGCACTTTTTTCTCTTTGCACTTTCGGATTTTTCTGTTTTAGACATTCATTTTTAATTCAAATATCACTAATTAGCTCATTTTGCTGTTACTTGATGTTGTGTTTATTCCTTTTTTTCAGTCAGAGTGTGGTTATTTCTTTAAAACACTAATCAGTGAGACTATGATATTTAGAACCATTTCTTCTGTTTCATTGCTGTAGTTCTATTTAACATGCACATATGTTGAAGACTGTTTATGTCAGTACATGGTATTCTTCTTTCATTTATCGTCTTTGTACTCTGAGATTTGGGAATAAGTGAGTGCAATTCCACAATCTATGCTTCTCTCTTTTCAAAAAAAAAAAAACATTCTATGCATCTGAATAAAAAGCTGGGGAGGAGCATAACATGATGCTTATTCGTTTCTCTCTTTTCCCTTGGCTGCAAATTTCTTATCTTGCAGACCCATGCATGAGATCACCTTTGCATCTGATGACAAACCAAAGGGCCTTACTCAAGTAAGTTTTCTTACTCCAAACTTCTGGAATAGCAAAACCGAGGATTCATTACTATGGAAGAATTTGTTACACATGTTTTGAGAGCCTTCCTGATACTATCGGTTGCATATTATTTCAGCTGTCTTCACTTCTAGGCAATCTCAATCTTGATATCAAAGAAGTACATGCACTTTCAACAAATGATGGTTACTTCTTAGATATTTTCATCGTAATCGGATGGGATCACAAGGTATTGTTTGGTCCATTTCTCTACTCAGGAAACATTTGATTAAAAATTCTTAACCATATTCTCCCTCTATCCCAAAATATAAGCACTCAGGTGCTTTTCACGAGGATCAAGGAGAGACATGAAATTAAATGGGGGATATTTGTCACTGGTTGAGATGTGGAAGTAAGTAGAGAAACAAAATAAGAGATGGTTGTGATTGGTTGAGATGAGGGAATAGGTGGAGAAGTAGCTATATTTTAGGACAAAATTTGAATGCTCAAAGTAGCTCTATTTTGGGATGGAGGGAGTAGTTGTCTGTCTTGCTTCCTACATGTAAGGACATCTAAGTATTCATGATCTCAACATTCATTCATACTTTTACCATTGTTTTGCATGAATTGCTATGAATCCAACTGAGTTTATATATATTCTATGACCTTTGATCTACTAATTTTCTAGTAAAATTTTATAGCACAATGTCCATAATATAGGATTGTCTAAGACCATATCCCAAACCAGTTTTGAACCAGTACATCTTATCTATGCTTTGTAATCCCAAAGCATTTGCCTAAATGCCATTTAGAGTTTATTTGCCTGTTCATGAAGAGCTCAAGAAAACTCTGAGAAAAAAATGTTATTTGACTACTGTTAATGGTTATCAGTGAACTTATAGGCACGTAGTTGCATATTATTGGATTGCACAGGAATATTAGAAACAGCAAAAAATGATTTTTGCATATTTTGGGCTGACAAACCGGAAAGCTTTATTGTTCCCTTTTTAGCTACCTTAAACAATTATTTTGTGAAAATCAGCCGAAAAATTGGTGGGAGTTCTGTTACTGTAATTTTAAATTCGCAAGGATCTGTTCCCTTTGCTGAATAAGAATATGCTTGTTAGAAAGGAGGATAATTATTCTTTTGATTTTACAGGAAACCCAACTTCTCGAAGAAGCGTTGGAGAAGGAAATTCACAATTACGAACCACAGGTAGAGTTTCATTGATATTCCTCTTTATTTTCTCACTATAATTAAAATGCATTAGAGCTTTGTTTGCTCTGTTGCCAGAAATGTTTAAAAAAATATGCAGAAACTAGATAAAATATAGTGCTGAAGTCAACCGAAAACAAAATAAAAGAAGTTTAAGATTTTCCTGCCCACCATACGATAGTACTGCACAATCTTAAAGGTCAGTAGTTTACATCACAAGCTCTTGAAGGCGCATAAGAAAAGGGGGATTCAGAAGTATTGGAATAGTATGCTTTGTTCTAGATCAAGAAGATATGGTTACATCATAGAATATGATGTTCTCTTGACAAATAACAATTCAGTTCGTTTATTAAGCTATTGTATTTCTCTCTCTGCCAATACTGATTACAGCATTTCTATATTTCCTAATACTTACTGTTTTCATTGTTGAAAATTTTCTGCAGATGCCCTCAAAATCTTCTTGCTGGCCTCCTGAATTAGCAGGCAAGCAGTCTTTGATTAACTCGCAAGTCAACCATGTTCAGATACCTAAAGATAACACAGATGAATGGGAAATTAACTTCGACGTATTGGATATTCAAGAGAAAGTGGCATCTGGAACGTATGGTGATCTGTGAGTATCCTGTTGTTGCGTTGCATGGAACCTTCAGTCTGTTAGACATTGCCTCAAGAGTCATTCTTCCTCCCTTGAGGTTGCAGCTATCGCGGTACATATTTTGGTGAAGATGTCGCAATTAAGGTGCTCAAGTCAGATCGTCTTAATGAGAACATGCAGGAGGAATTTAACGAAGAAGTATTCATCATGAGGTTAGTAATAAAATAAAGATATGGGATTCTCAAAACCAAAAAAAATAAAAAGGAAAAGTAAATAAACCTGTAATGTCGAATGCCTAGCAAGCTCATCTAGTAACTAAGCCATCGCTGTATAAGGTGTAGCGAGATGACTTTCCCAATGGCTTCGAGTCATTCATTGAAATGTACAAGTCGTTTATGAACACATCATGTGAATCATATTATGCAAAGTTTTGTCTGAACCATAGAAAAACTTGCACAAACTTAATCATAGCATACAGCACAATCTAAGAATTTGACAACATTACAGCTATACAACCTTAAGTAATTCAGCAGTCTATTTGGTAAGCTGATTGAAGTTACATAGACAATTCTTTATCAGAGCCTTTTCCCTGGAAAGTAACACATCTCTTTGACCATGTTGCCGATGGAACTGCCAAATTCTAGGAAGATTCGTCATAAGAACATTGTTCGATTTCTTGGGGCATGCACCAAATCCCCAACCTTATGTATTGTCACAGGTAAAATGAATACAGATGCCAATTCCTTTTAATTATGCAGATTTTGCCCATTTATATGTGATGGTGTTATCCCCTTACATTTTGGAATTTACATATTTCACCAGAGTTTATGAAAAATGGAAGTGTTTACGACTACCTTCATAAGCGTAAAGGTTCCTTCAAACTTCCCAGTCTGCTTAAAGCTGCAGTTGATATATCAAAAGGGATGAACTATTTACACCAAAATAAAATTATTCATCGAGACTTGAAGACAGCAAACCTTCTTATGGATGAGCACGAGGCAAGACTTTTGATCGCTCTGTAGCTTAATCCTGAGTAGTCATTAACGTAATTACTTTATAATGTGGCTTGATGATCAGGGATAAACATAGTTTTTCATGGCCTGTAGTTTGTTGGTATTGCTTTCTTTGCAGAACTGTTGTTGTCACAATTATTTTCATGATTAAACTGATATGGATGAATCTTTTTCAGCTTATCAAGGTTGCTGATTTTGGTGTTGCACGTGTAAAAGCTGAATCAGGGATTATGACTGCCGAAACTGGTACATATCGTTGGATGGCTCCTGAGGTAATCTTTTTAAATTATATATTCAAGTGAAATCCCAGTTTTGCATAGAGGACATAGCAAATGTTTCCCTTTTCTTCTCTAATGATGATAGTTTATCCAATTTAATGGTAAATTTTCCAAACCATCGCACAACTTTCTCAAAAGAAATTGGAGAGCTAAGCAACAGATTGGGATACATGTTTTTCACATCTCAGATCTATGCAACGCTTTTTATGTAGGTTATTGAGCATAAGCCATATGATTCAAAGGCTGATGTCTTTAGCTTTGGTGTTGTTTTGTGGGAGCTACTTACGGGAAAGGTATTATTGATTCATTGGCTAGTGATTTTCTCTTGGAAATATAAGTTTTTGCTGCCAACATACTTATGTTTTTTTTAACATACTTTACTAGATTCCTCACGAGTTTCTAACACCACTCCAAGCAGCCATAGGTGTTGTTCAAGAGGTCAAGAGCTAAGCTGAATTTTTTTTTTCTTGTTACTATTTGACATAACAAATGCAGCTCCAATATCATAATGTGGACATCTTTTCTTTATGCTTTCCTACTTCATAAAACTACTTATGTTATAGTTCACATTTTTTAAAAGAGGTTATCTTATGGTTCACATTTCACAATCTTTCAATCAAGTAAACAAACGGTTGACATGGCAGGGTTTAAGACCAGTTATTCCCAAGGCCACAGATCCTAAACTCGCGCTGTTACTTGAGAGTTGCTGGCAGCAAAATGCTGTCAACAGACCAGACTTTGTACAAATTTTGCAAAAGCTTGATGAAATTGCTGGGGAGGTAGGCATCTGTGACCTATTTACCATTTCATGAAATCCCAAATTTTCATATTCTTGCTTGATGGCCTGATGGGTGTATGTAACGTACTGACAGCATGGCATTGATCTTACCCATCCCCATAAAGAGAAGGAGAAAGGAGGCTTCTTTACTTTTGGGAAGGTCCATTGATGAAATTCTTGTATCATATCTAAAGTTGCACATTGTTTTTCTGCAGCTACTTTCTCGATAGATTTCTCTGAAAGATACTGTGTATTCAGGGGTTTATTATTGTACAGTGTGGTAGCTGACTGGCAGATCACTTAGCCGCCATTTGTCTTTTCCACCAAATGTAAAGCAAGTACCCGTGTAATTTTCAATTGCTGTATAGTGTATACTACGGAAAGCAGAAAATATTAGTGAAATTGCAGTATACTACTTATTTTGAACCTTATTGAAAGCTTCTTTTCCTATTAGCACTCTGCAACAGTTTTTTTTTTTTTTTGGAAAGGAATCTGCAACAGTATTTTCATCATACATCTGCAGTCACTGCAAGGTGCCATTGTCATGTTGCCAAGAAAGTTTATTAACATGAAAGGTAACATGGAAGGGGTGACAGGACAGCAAATTAAACATAATAAAACCCTAGTCTCTAAACTAGCACCATTCATCCCTTCAAAATCCATTTATTCAGTATTCTTCTGATGCCTCACATTTGAGAAGACCACATAGTGTACAGGCGTACAGCCGTGGAGCGTGAAGTCATCTGCAGATTATTAGGTTTCAGAAACGCAGAAAATCTTTCAGGCCAACGTCACTTGTTGGTTGGGAGTTCATTCTCCTTCCAGGCAGAAAATCCACCGGCGATGTCGGTGACAGCAGTAAAACCCTGAAAAATTGCATGAGATAAATCATTTCGAACGACAGAAGCCCAAGAACTGATAAGCGGAATACAGAGTTGATGAGATGGGCATTCTTACAGCAGAGCAGAGTTCAGATGCTGCCATGAGGGATCTCTTGCCACTTTGGCATCCCTAGAATTAACAGGTGAAAGTTTAAGTACATTAAGAAAAGTGGTTGTAAATAACATACGAAATGTTTCAAAACCAAGGATACATACAACGATGATCTCATCCTCCTTCCCAAAGGTAGTCGACACTTTCTCAAGAAAATGTGTGTTTTTTGTCAGTCCTAGGAATGAGAGAATAAATAATGTTTAGATGTGAATCAGCACTTAATGTCTTAATCACAGTATTATATATGAATGCAATCTGTCAATATTCAGCAGGGCTGACATTCAGTCAAACAGACAACTTGATGCACAGTAATGTATCACTAGTGTAAAGCAGCATCCTGATGAGTCAGTTTCTCAATTGGATTTGATCTAGCTGGTAACCTCAGATAATAATTTTTAAAAACCATGTGCGTATGGTCTATCTGTAGCAGGGACCAGCTGTAGGAGAGCAAATCACAAACGCAACTAGCTGATTATCACAACTCAAAGTAATGTCAGTTGCCCCTTTGCAGCGGCGAAACGCTGGTTTTCAGTTTAGTTTGGTGGTTTGCAAGGGTACAAGTTGATAGTGAAATGCATTCATGCATGCAAAAAGAATAGTTTTGTGTTCAACTTGCATAGCTGCATCAGAATAATAGGATGCATGCATGCATCCTGATCTCTCTAGAGCTCTGAAACCACCCAACAATTTTCAATCAGACCAGACAAATAAAAGCGAGTTTGAGGACCACCCATAATCCTACTAGCATTTCTGAACTTCATGTGCAAAATGATTTACAAGATCATATGGAAAATTTGGGAATGCACATGCCCAAGACATGCATGACCTAGGAATTATTATTATTTTTTTAGAATTTTGACTGGAATATTCACATCTGGATTTGTGAAATCGATGGGATCAATGCCAACATCCCATGTTGATTATGACAATCTCAGTTGAAGTCTAAAATAGTTGTAACAACTAAGACAGGACAGAGCAATCAGTGAGAAAAAAAATGTGCTGCAGGGGTAGTTTAATTACCTGAGCCGGTTTTGTACATATATGGGATGTTTACAGCTCCAACTGGATGCCCACCTGCAAACTCACCCTCGGTTCTACAAAGATCGAGCACAACGATTAAGCTGCAGAAATTTCATCGAAAGACAGCTGCTTGATTCAATATATCACATTCTTTTGATCTTATTGGTGTTCTTTCGGCAGTTCAGTTTCAAAGTTAGTCGGCTCTGAAGTCTGAACTTGTACACGTCGAGTAAAAAAAATATTCTTCTTGTCAAGAGGAAAAAAAAAAACAAATGTTGAGGTTGTTAATTAGCAGATGCAGATGCAGATGGATAATTTGATTCCGAACCTGACGTCGAGATAGCGGTGTCCGGCCTGCTGCAGCTCGTGGGCGACGCGCACCGGCACCGACCGCGGCACCGCCATGTCCGCGCCCAAGGCCTCGGCGGCGCCGCCGCATCTGGAGAAGAAGACGAAACGATCATCACCTTGGGACACTCTGCTGCGCCGTCACACTGAACCGGAAAAAGGAAAAGATGAACGGCGAGTCACCTGACGGATCCGAGCAACCTCTTTGCCACTACCGCCGCCGGCCTCGCCGCCGCGAAGCCCTGGGTGGTTGCGCCATGCCGCAGCCTGAGAATCAAATGGTGAGCAAAAGAAAGCAAAGAAGAGGAAGGCAGTCAGTGAGTAGGAGTAGGTACGTGAGGAGGACAGAGGGGAGGGAGACGCGCGCCAAGGTCGCCATGGAAAATTGGAACTGGAGATTCTACTAAAGTTGATGACGCCTCTTTCTCTTCTTTTTGTTGGACTTGGCGATCTTGGATTTTGATAGCTGCTCTGCTCTGATCTGCTGCTGCTTTTATATTTGGACTTGGAGTATTCCTCAAATTATGTTTTTTTTTTATTGTGTTTTGATTTGGGAAGCGTGATTTGCGAAATCTCAGCATGTGATAATTGATTAACCTAATGAAGGAAGGAAGGAACGATCGATTTCCTCGACAAGTTATAGAAATTGATTTTGTTTAATGGCGACGGTTGGTGGGCAATTTGGGAGGAGCTTCAGCTGCCAGCTAAACCGCATCAAATTAACAAACATCGGATTATCACTGCACTGCTCTGCTCTGCTGCAGATGGAAATACTCCCAAGAAACGGTGCAGTAGCCATTTCCGATGAGTCAAAAACGTCATCAGATGGTTGATAGTACATCGGACTAGTACTTCCTCGGTCCCAAAATGAAGCCATTTTTAAGTTTGGCATGGGTATTAAAAAAGTAGGTGACAATGATGGAAGGAAGTGTGTGATTGGTTAAAAAGAGAAAGTAGGTGAAGAAGAATGATTATGATTGGTTGAGAGGAGGAGGTATGTGAAGAAATAGTTTCATTTTGAAATAAGGCACTGTGCTAAAAATAGCTACATTTTGGGAGGGAGCAGTACATTTCTGGGAGAGGGACCATCCCTGATCCCCATCCCTTCGTGTCTCGGATAAGAATAAAGATAGTTTTGCCACGTCTGACAACTTATCACGGATGTAACTACTTGGGGTGATTTGGTTTCCAGTTTCAAAGCACGCCTAAAACTCTAGGAGACAGCGGGTTTGATAGTGAATTAGTAATGTCAGTAGCGGAATTTAAATTATAACCATAAATGTACTTCATATATCAATAATAACATAAAACCATACTTTAAATTTACAAGTTTAAACAACGTACTTAATTAGAACTCCCTCCGTTCCAAAATATAAGGCACAACCACCCTTAACCCAAAGACTAAGAAATAATTATTATCATCATATAGTTTGGATCAAAGTGGTTGTGCCTTATATATATTATAGAATGGAGGGAGTATGTATATAGCATAAGATTTTAAAAGTAGTAACTCCCTCAATCTTTAAATATAGGGGATTTTGGTTGGATGTGATATATCATGGGCGGAGGGAGTATAAGCAAGTAAGACATAAAGAAGATACTCCCTCCGTTTTATAATGTAAGACTTTCTAACATTGTCCACATTTATATAGATGTTAATAAAACTATATGCATCTATATGAATGTGGGCAATAGTAGAAAATTTTATATTGTGAAACGGAGGGAGTGTATAACGTTGACTACACTATCCATACATGAAAAACACCATCTAAGCGTAATAACGGGCTAACAAAGCTGATAGTGGACCACAACCGCGGGCACTAAGTTTTAATAAAAAAAAAACTATATTCGGTTCGCTGCCTGGTAGGGTATACGAAAGCTATTTATCCCCCTTTGAATTGGAGGAAAAACAAAGAAATTGAAATCCTATACAATTTATTCATACCTTTGATTTGTAGGAATGAGAAAAGGAAAAACGTAGAAAACTTTTCTATTCTTGCAATTCTAAAGGAAAAATGTAGAAAATTTAACATCCACTCTAACCTCTTGAAAAATTTTCTTTGAGTCTATCTCTCTCATCTGATTCTTGTGTTTTTCTTGCAGTCCAATCAAACGGCCATTCCTATGTTTTTTTATGTTTTGCAATACTCATTTCTACACTTACATTCCTATCAGAATCCTGTGATTTTTTTATTCATCCATTTATTTTAATCCTGCGATTCAAGGGGGCTAGTAATTTGTATTTTAGTGATTTTATGATGTATCCACAGCTTTAATTTTTAACACTCACAAAATTGTGCATGCAAGTATGCATGTATTTCTGGCAGCAAGAAAAAGAGAGAGAAACTCGCACGTTTCCCAAATGTTAACGGTGTATTTTTTTTAAAAAAAAATTATATGTGAGTTTTTTTCTCAAGTTTTGGTGTAACAAGCCCGGCTGAGCCCACAAAGCTGCGCTACATCGACTAGGCCCACGCACGAGAGATGGCTTGTAGGGGCTCATCTTGGGCCGTCCGTGATGGTCCACAAAGCCCATTCCTTAGCCTCGCAGCCCATTAAAGTTGGTCCGCAATGTGGGTTCGTCCCTGTACGCATGCTTTCTTTTTTTTTTTCTTTTTTTAAGAAATACAATTCAAACGTAGGTGTTCACAAACACAACATACTTATCTCCTATAAACGTATACACGCACACTCTATCTTATGAGTACATTAAAAAAATTGAGCCGGTGTATGTTGAGATTTACGAAGTCACCACATGTGTCTCCTTATTGATGTGTACGTCGTCTACCACTAAACTTAAACTCGGGTGAATAAATTTCACCACAAGGAATCTAACTAGCTAGTTGAGTTATATATATACACACAATTCGCGCATGCTTTCTTTTATTCTCCACACAAAAAATAAGAATAGACAGCAATAGTAAATAACAGGGAAAATTAACTAAGTGAAGCACATCAATTTTATCATTATTTTTCTGGCCTCTAGCCACGATGGATCGATTATTACACTTCCATTTGCAGTACTCATAATCAAACCGAGCTGAATAGAGCAACATGTATATATTGTACAGCAGTATATACATGAATGATGAATCAATTTAACTGAAATTCCAAGACTAAAACTAGGAAAAAAACATGAAAGAAAGAAAGAACATCAGTGACCACGTATATATATCATCGATGAGAAGCAATATATATAAATAAATGAGCATCAGCTGTTGTAATTGGCGAGCTGGTTGAAGTTGATGGGGGAGGTGAACTGGGGAGGGCCGTGGAAGTAGGCCTTGGCGCCGAGCTTGTTGGCCTGCTGCGACGGGTGCACGCTGTCCCAGAACACGAACCGGTCGCGGTCGCCGCACAGCGCCGCGCCGCGCTGGCAGGGCCCCTCCGCGCCCAGCCTCCCGCCGCCGCAGCACGCGCTGTCGGCGTTCGCGTAGCCGGCGGCGCCCGGGTCGGCGAAGGTCAGCTGCGTGAGCGCGTACGAGTCGGCGATGGAGTAGGCGAGCCCCGGCAGCCGCGCGGCGAGGCCGGACATGTGGCCGCGGAGCGCCGCGTCGAAGCCGGCGGCGAGCTGGTTCATGCCGTCGTTGCAGCCGCCCGTCGCGTTCGCCACGCGCACGCTCGGCACGCACCCCACCGGCCCAACGTTGATGATCCCAAACTTCCTCGCGCCCATCCCGTACAGCTCCTGCACACGTACACCAACACAATTCATCAATTAGCAATTAGCTAGCTTAATTAGTTGATATGGATATGCATCATTACATGTATCACGCGTACTGATGATTAATATATAAGTATATAATTACCAAGATGATCATTGAATTGTTCTTCCTATATATCATGTCTTTCTATATAGTATATAGCCGGCTGCAGGAGACTTTGAACAAATTGAGAGTAGTAGTAGTACTTACGACACCAGGAAAGGAAATGTCCGGACTAATTGTTAATATGTTAGTACATTAATTAATTTATCCATGAGCTAGATAGTTGAGGATGGTTGGGTTAGGTGTGTGTAAACTACATACCGTGATAGCCGCCGAGTAGTTGGAGATGAGGCTTGTGTAGAAGGCCTCCACCTCGCTGGGTGTCGCGGAGCGGTTGAGCTTCTGCTGCGCGGCGGCGAAGGCGAACATGTCGTTGCTGCCGACGCCGAAGAGGAAGAAGGACTTGGCCAGCAGGTCGCTCACCGCGCCGGACCCCGCCTTCGCCACCATCTCCGCCCTCGTCGAGTTCAAGTACACCACCTGCTTCGACAGTGGAATGCTGCGTCCGGTGTTCTGCAATAATTCAGACACAAGCAGATCGACATAGATTAAGTACAGACCACTGATAAATTTAATTTTCATGGTAACCTGTAGTAGCTAGTGATCACTTACAGTGGAGTCGAGAATCCCAGCTCCGGCAGAAGCATAGTTGACACCCATCACTAGAGCGGCCGGGACGAGATAGTTGCGTGCTTTGAGTACCAGATAGGCCGGAGGGCTCTTGTCGAAACCCAGATTCTTTGCTGCAAGCCCATGTAATTAATTAATATCTCGATCGAGTTAGTAATGTTGCCTATATAAATACGAGTATATATATACGATAATTAAGTAAAGTACGTACCAACGTAGTCGGCGGCGTTGAAGCCGTTGCTGAAGCGTCCGGTGGGCTTGGAGCCAGGGAAGTCGATGCCGTAGTAGGGCTTGTTGGCCCTAGGGACGTCTTTCCCCGGCAGGTGGTTGTTGTTGCCGACGTCCAGCGTCGAGTCGCCCAACACGTACACCGCCGGCACCAGCCGCATCTTGCTCGGATGGACGCCGCCGCCGCCGACGGCCCCCAACACCTGAACCATGGATATCATCAGGCTAAGACGACCTAAGCCCACACTCTTCTTCTTCATGCCCACCATGCCTACCACTCTTAACTGGTCTCTAATAACTCTAAGTATTCGTTAATTCTCTCGATCACAATTAATTAGCTACGACGATCGAGCAGCCTGCAGTAAGGCTAGGTCGACCTATGCAGGCTGTTTAGATCGATCTTGTACTACTAAAGGTTGAGAATTGAGATGGTGTGTGTGTGATGTTTGGGGTGCACACATGCTAGCTACTTAAAAGCCCAAGAGGTTAGCTAGAGCCAAGAGATTAATTTCAACTCGATCTCTCTACCACTATCATCTCCTCTATACCGCGTGTGATCCGGGTCTTTTGTATGTTTTTTTCTAGGACTATATATATTAATTAATTGGTACCACAGTTTACGATCGAATCATAGAATAATGTACTCCATATGGCATGCAAGTACTATATATATCATATGCTCATCCGTCCCAAAATAAAGTATTTTTAAAATAGTGCCAAATCAAATATTTGTAACTTTTGACTATTAATAGTGAAAAAAATAAAAAAAGATCAATCATGTAAAATTAATGTTACTAGATTTATCATAAAACAAACTATCATAATATACAAAACTTTTTATTTAAAACATATTACTTTTATAGATATTGGTGGTTAAAGCTAGTGTCGAAGTTTAAAAATGCTTATATTTTGTGACGAAGGGGTAAAATGCAGATGTGATTCCCCCGGGAAAGTTCTAGGTCGTTAGTCAAAAGGCAAAACAAAGGGTTCGACGACAAATTAAAACATGCATACGCACATATGATCAAAGATATGTGTGCGTTTATACGTACTACTTTAGCTAGTATATATCAAATATTGAAGCGGACCATTAATTAGCTAGCCTGACATGACATGTACGTGCTCGATCGGTTAAGAATAAGATTGGACTGTTCACTGGATAAAATCAACCCCTTTTTTAACGGAAGTGGGGAAATTAACCTTTCGGTCGTCTGATATATATAGGAATATATTTGCATGAGTCAATGTTTAGCGTACGTGTGTCTGCTGCTAGCTAGCTGCTGTGTGATTACTCCATTTATCATTGTTATTTCAACTCCGTGATTTACATTTAAGTACTTAATTTATTGCCGCCCCCCTCCCCCCCCCCCCCCAACAAAAAAAAACAAACACAATCTAAAACAGAGAAAGAATAATTCAGTAGTTCATAACTACCCTTGGCGGCCTCTTGCTTATTTTATAGTTGGATATAACATTCTAATTTGGCACGTCAACAGTACAACTGCACATGCATAGATACCCCAAAAAAAGTTTCTCTCAAATTAATATAATAGCGGTATTCAACACTTCTTTCTATTTGAAACCATAAAAAAAAAGAGGATGACTTTTTCAGGTATGGACGTATGGTTGAATGATTGTCTGGATAAGCTGCATTGAGCAATTTAATTTGGACCGTTTCTAACGGTTTATATATGTGCCCACTAGCTTTTGGGTTTTATATATTTATGTACCCTTTTTTTTCTGATTGGGGAAGCAAAGTGGACTACGTTCAAATTGCATCATCAATTAGTGCATGGAAAAAGAGTTACAGCTAGCTAGCGGCAACACGCTACTGTGTCGTTGAATTGCTTGCTTAATTAAGCAGTTTGATGTTTAATTTGTATGAATATTGAAGATAAACAGAGAGATATTAAATAAAGGAAGGTCAATCTATATATGTGTGTGTATATATAATGTGTGTGTGTGTGGAAAAGGATTTTACATAAGAAAAACGCATACTCTATCATGCATTTCTCGTATTTAACATACACAAAATAAATCTAACAACATATAGAGTGTGATGCGCTGCTACGATATGTTATTTTTGTACAAATGTATAAGATCCATTCGAGACACATGGAGAAATAATAGAGGCTTACAACCACACATTGTTTTAAAAGAATTTACCTTTTTATACATACATACATACATACATACATACATACATACATACATACATACATACATACATACATATATATAACATATATATATACATATATACATATACATATACACACACACAGACACACACACACACACACACACACACATATATATATATATAGTAAATTTGTTTGGTGCTCCATGGTGCCCGGGCACCATTGTTGAAATTGAGTATATACCCAATTCAAATGAGTATGAAACTTTTTTAATTACTTAGGTATTAACATTAACTACTTTACTAACTAGTTTAAAGCAAGTTTGAACTGAATTTGAACTTGTTTTTGTT